AGCCTACGGCAATTTGAGGCTTCGCGACAACTCGAGGAGGCACATGCGAGCCCTGCGCAGCCAGGAAAGATGGATTTTTTGCTTAGGCAATAGAAAGCTCAGGGCGGGAAATCAGATTCAACACAGAGTCTATATAGAGTTTCGCGCAAACCCGGACTTTGGAAGAGTCCTCACAGAGTAAGGGCAAGTGAAGCAGATTGGAAGTATATACACACATATATCATCATACCAAAAATAATAACAGTGCAGATAAAACAAAACAACTACTACTATGTGTTGATATTGATATTGCACTTCTCCGTTGAAATGCCTGATGATGCGACAAACTCAGGGCCGGGACCAGGCCAGTCTGGGAGGTGGGCACCAAAACACCTAACCCAAAGGATCCAAGTATCATTATGGTATCTACTTATAGGGTATTTTGAGGGTCTAAGTATATACCATAATGATACTTGGACCTTTTGGGTAATAAGCGAAGCCACACGTGCTCACCGGGTGTAAAGAGCTTAAGGCAGGCAATAACAAGAAAAATGAGAATGTAATTCATGGGTGTTCAGGGATTAATTACTGGATGAAAGTCCAGCCAAGCCAAGATGGGTGTCGGTAGACCAGGCCTCCCGCGGGCGTACTTGCTTGATGGACACCGGCACGTCGGATCTCAGCATTCGAGTTTCATGGCTTTCGGATATTGAGGCCCTAGACGCTCAACCTCAAAACAGGGCATAAACCCTAAACCGTAAACTTCCTAAACCTACACCCTACAACTCAAAGTCCTAAACCTTAATGCGTAAGTCCCAAAACCTAAGCCCGGAACTCTCAAGTCGGATCCAAGGCTTCCGGGGGACCTTACTTGGAGGGTCTTTTGGGGACTTAGTAACTGGTCATTTTAGGGACTTATAATTACCATAACCCCAATTAGGGTTCCTTTTAGGGTACTTATAAGTCTACTTACTACCTACTTACTAAGTCCCCCGACCCTGCAGGTAGGATTCTAGCGCAGAGGGTGCCTCAAGGCTCTAATATAGGTGCCTCACAGATTAGAGCAGGGTTTTGGGGCCCACTATACTATAGTTATAAGAAGGAACCACCAAAGTTAGAATGGTGTAATTAGGTAGTTATCAAGGCCCCTGTATTAGGCCGATAGCTTCTGGAAGGATGTGGGGACTTATATACGGCTCGATGGATTTACAGAGGGCGCTACTCCGGAGTCTATATCCCTAGTGATCCACGTATCATGTGGAGTCGCATGTATATATATATATATACCTGTGTATGTAAAAGACTTGGGCCTTGAAGGGGCTATGGGAGCTACTTCTACGGCCAAATATAATCTATGTATGTGGACATGGACCGTATACAGGACACGCTCACCCCCAGCCCCCCCACATCCAGAAAACAGCAGCGGCAAGTCCTTACGACATGGACCGATAACAATCCTGGCAATTCCCAGCAGTGGTCCAAAAGACAATGATGACCTTCCTGATACCTGCCAGTAAGAACTGCACGTGTTTTCCCCAGAAGACTTCGCATGACAAACCGTCTAGACGGTCTCTCAGACCAACAGAAACGGTAACTCGACTCTGAATGGCAAAGTCCCAAAGCTTGATTATATTAGGGTTGAGCATATGGCGTGACGAACTCCAGGTGCCATGGCGAATACACACAGCTGATTGAAGCCCAATACGGCTATTTCTCTAGTTCTCCAACGTAGGGTCCCCTTAAAGGTCTTTTTTTGTAAGAGTGCCGTACGATTTTGGGAACCTAAAACTAATTTAGAGAACCACCCAACTTAAGGTTTAAGACATCCTGTGAACTCTAAACCTACGCTGCCTGGGTGTCAAGGCTCCGGCCCCTTTGTCACGGCTTGTGCTGGTGCCACCTGCACGTCTTGGGAAGCGACACTGTGCACTGGCTGGGAAGGGGAATGATTCAATCGGCATGTGGGTTCCTGCAAGCGTGCTCACGCTGCCGTCAGACCGCCATAAACCCGAAAATAGCCCGTTATGAAGCCCTGTCAACTTTCAGCTGAGGCCGCAACCCATGAACCGGTCGCCCCGGTGGTGTAGGAAAGCGGCGGTGAAGCCGCCACAGTCGTCGTTGGTGTTGTCTGGCACAGATTTGGGGTTTGGAGTTCAAGTGTACTAGCGGTCTCAAGTCTTAAAGTATCTTAAAGTTAAGGGTGTGGTTACTATACCAGCCTTAATTTGTGATTAGAACGGGCTACAGTATTGTACAGCTATACAGCGGCATTAAGGCGATATGAACACTATATAGTCCGACATATTCCGAATCCCATAAGACCTCTCTTACAGATGCGCCGCGAACCAACAGCTTATGGCTTCGGCGTTGCTTTCACCAGCCATCTGCACAAGCTGCCGCGCCTGCAAGTGGGTTGGCTCCAAAGGCACCTGGCCGCACTACGTTGCTGTATACAGCTCCAAGGTATTCAGCAAATTACGAAAATTCAGAATGCAAGGGAACCTAGTAATAGGGTGTGTTCAAGTCTAGCATCCTTATTTCAAGGTCCAACACCAGGTATCTCCGCATACCGAACCCCACACATGTGAGTTTCGGAAAATAGGGGACCCCAATATAGCACACGAAAGAGTAGGATCCTTACTTTAAGGACCCCAAAATAAGGTACACTAATTTTCGGAAACTCGCACATGAACATCTAGACAACTAGCGAAACGGCACCCGAATGACCTGAAATGGAGCTTCAGATCGAACCGGAGACATAGCAAGCCAATGTAAGCGTCCTGCATGTATGTATGTATGTATGTATGTGTGCATGTATGTATATATGTATATATGTATAGTGTGTGTATATATATATACATATACATATATATATATATATATATATATATATATATATGTATGTATGTATTATATACGTACCGGTATATGTAGAAATACAATGCTCACAATGCTATATGTGTGTGTATATATATATATATATGTAAATATTGAGCAAAGTATGCTTGAAACTGCTCTCTGTTACGAGCAGCTTCTCCGTCGCCTGCGGAGTACAACCTTGCGATGCACACCTCAGCAGCACAGCGCTGTTGGCGGATCTGAAAGGCCAACAAGATTTGAACATGGAATGCTTCGGTCTATTGAGAGGGCCTGAATCACACGGATAAGTCCATTCTGTTTCTGGGCTGCCTGAACACAGCCAGAATGGAGTGTTGGGGTTTCCAGCTATGCAGGGCCTATAAGTGGATTTTGGTATTCCGAGTTCCTCCGACCGGTATGTTACACTTCCAAAAATGCCTTCATCGCATAACGCAGAACCCATACACCACCAAGCTGGCAACCCCATACGGGTATGTGAGAAGGTCTCAGTCATCGAGACTTGCGAGCTGGAAACGCCAAATTATTTGTTGCTGTTACCATCGCCATAGTGTGCAAAGATCTTCGAGCAGATCTGGACCTGTACTAGTTTGTGAGCAACCACGGAATCGGAAGACATCGGAGCCACAACAGAAGGGGCCTTAGTAATTAGAGTAGGGTTTTGGAGGCTTCTATACAAAACACTGGGCCCAGGGCCCTTAAACCGCAAGACCCTGCGTTGGAGACTGAAGATCTCAGGCATGGACTCACTTAGCCGCCCATCCTCGGCATGGAGCAGATGCTGAGAGACTCCGAGGCTTCGGTAAGAGGGTTTTACGGTTTAGGGTTTAGGGTAGTTCACTAAGTTAGCTCTGGCCCTAAGCCGTCTTAACCCAAGCATGTTCGGTAGACATACTGTTGATGAAATAAATCTTGCATTGCCTCAAGGACTCTAAACTATGGGAACTATGGTGTATTCCTTATTATGGGTAATGCAGGATTTATATCATCAACCGTAGCGGTCCCCTAAACCCTAAACCCATGATTCGCAAGCTCCCACCTGCTGTGCAGGTTGGCTGGCTCTCTTCTCGGAGGTTGCTGCTATACGGGTAGTTGTCAAAATTAGGGTCCCTCTTTGGGTACCCCAAATATTAGGTGCCGTATTATACTAAGGACTCAAAAAGGGACCCGAATTTTGACAACCACCCATATACTGTCTGTGGAGTTCCCAGGAGCCTAAATAATTACCAAGACTATTTTGCGGGGTTCCTGATTATGACTATAGCACAATAGGCCCCAAAACCCTGTTCTAAGTATTGTAATAGGCCCTTACAGTAAACTCGGTGGAAGGAGTCTGTCCACAAGTCAGAGCTCCTGGCTGCGAAGCGCTGCATCAACTCCCCAACGCACTTCTTCATGACTTCAGTCTCCTCTGGGCTTTTAAGTAACCAGGGAGAAAAAGTATACACTTTTAATATTTTATTTCATAAGGATTCCTTTAAGGACTTCAAAGCGCAGTCCTGTGACAGGTGGGTTCCCCAAACCTTCAAATGCTCAAAACGATCTTGCAGCTGTTTACCCCGACACCCCGATTGACTTCACAGCCGCTGAACCCTAACATGGTGCAGGATGAATGGTTCCATAGGGTTTCGAAGCTTGAGACGCAGCAATACCACTAATCGGAAACGATGCATGGTGCTTCGGAGCGCCTCGGCCTGAAACCAACGGATCCCAGCTTACCGACCAGCTGCTGCCATTGCGAGGATAATTAAGACACCGCTCATGTTAGAAGTGATAACCCGGAGTGAGGCCTGGTTCTGTCACGCGATCTGCTACCCTTCGTCTGCGGGGTGTCCTGCGTCTGTGCACACCAGGCGATCGCTGCCGAAAGTGTACATGCCTATGGTCTCCATTGTAGTTCCTTTTTGGGGTTGCCTTATAGGATCCTAATTATATATATTTGGTTAAACCAGAAAACGGAACTACAATGGAGACTATAGGTAGGCCGTGGCAGCAACGGCCTCATTTCGACCGTTGTTGCTGGGAGCCTACCCGACCGTGTAGTACATTCAGCGACAGTCTGGTCCCATCACTTCATGGCATGTCAAACTTCTGCTTCAGTGAACGGAAGCATCCACCTGATCAAATCGTGTTAGAACAGTGCATCACCGTATAGAGGCTCTGCCAAAGAAAACTCCAATAATGAACGCTGCGCCCAAAGCAGTCGCAGCACAAACGCGCCGCTGCCATGCAGATAGCTGATTTGATACGAAGCCCACTTCTCGCTTCAGTTTCGCGCACCCGGAATCAATAATCGGCGCGGTGAGGATTTCCATCGACAGCTCGCCTTCTCTCTCCAGCCACAGAATTCTCTTGCCACTGTTGATAACGTCTTGAAAGGAGTTGAAAGGAACCCCCTCCAAGTTGGTCGCCTTGGTCCCAGAAGCTTTAAGATGGCCAAAGCAGGCCTCGAGGTTGTCAGTCTTAAAGCAGAGTCGGTAGATGGAACCGGAGCCATACTTCCTCAGTAGCTCTACATGGGCTCCCTTCTTCCCCTCGACCGCCATGAAGACCAGCTGGCCGTTCGGGTCAAAAACGCTCGCATACTCCGTCCAAGTGGGCTCCTCTGGAGCCGGCGAAGGTTTCGGGCTTTGGGGTGTAGGGTATAGGGGTTTAGGGGTTTAGGGTTTAGGGGTGTAGGGTTTAGGGCTTTAGGGTGTAAGGTATGGGGGTTTAGGGCTTAGGTCAGTCTGGGGTTTTGGGAGCTCAAAAGCACGACACTACACCCTGAATGGGAGGAATACGAGGTCTACTACAAGGGATAATACTACAACTAACTCTAAACCCCTGAAGGATAATACTACAACTAACTCTAAACCCCTTAACTTAACCCTTTGAGAAGCAAGTGGGCTCCTCAGGACCGCCCCAGGTCTGAACCTTCGAAGCCACGAAGCCCAAACGAGGACACCAGGTGCTCAGGAAAGCATGGATGTCCTCCACCACGATGTCCACGTGGCTGAACCTAGCTTCCCCAGTAGCCTCTTAAACATAAGACAGCCGTTTTGTCTAAACCCTAAACCGTCTCCTGTCCTAGTTGAACCGGGAAGGTGGTTTCTACAATCTTTATAGATCCCTTGTAACACCCCTGTGGCAACCTGTAAACAAAGAAGTTTAAAACCTAAGCCCCTACCTCTCGGGCCCAACCCTAAACCTTCTTCTTCTTCTACTACTACTACTACTACCACTACTACTACAGCAACAGCTACTACTACTACTACTACTACTACTACTACTACTACTACTACTACTACTACTACTACTACTACTCCAAACCGAGCACCTCAGGTCCGGCCGCCATGCGCCCTCGGATGTCATGCTCGCAGCGTGTCTTCCATGGGCAAACGACAAGCACCGACGGAATCTTGGGCCACAGTTGGGAGGGGCCGGAAAGAAGGAAAGGTACCAATGTAGTACAGAATTATTTGGGCGTGAGAAAGGACTCCTTTATAGTTGTCGTGGAGCCCAAACTATATAGGATATACTGTTGGGCACATGGACCCCGAGAAAAAAAGAAAGACCCACAGTGCTGGGAAGACCGGAGCCTCAAGCGACCCGCTGACTAACGGGGACCAGGTTTGGGGGTTTGAGGCTCAGGGCTTCGAAGGTTCAGGGGCTGAGGGCTGTAGCGTTCAGCTGCTGAGAGTGGCTTAGGGTTCAGGAGTCCTCCCTTCTCTTGGAGGCCCTTTTGACTTAGTAAGTCTACTTAGTATCCCCTAGAAACCCTATTATAATCCCCATAACCCAGCTTACTAACCCTACTTACTAAGTCAAAAGGACCTCCAAGCTCTACTACAAACTGGAGATGAGAGGAATGTAAAGTCGGGAGGGCCGGCGGCTGGTCGAGCTTATTCCCTACATAAACCCAGATACCCCGACGTCGGCTTTGCGACATCGCGCGGAGTGTGCTGGGATTCAAGGAATCACCCATCAGAAGTACAAGCTGGGCTTCCAAGAACGAGGGCTCCGGTTAAGACATCCTTTGATACGGGTCTTACTATCCGGGGTGGTAGTCAGGAGCCTTCGGCGAAGGCTAATACCACGGAGACATATCCTAAACCTGTGTAAAGCCTTGCTGTCCTCCAGAACCTCGGTAAGCCTCCGCACGGAGGAAATTGCGTCCTGCACCCGGCGTTCAGGGGAGAGCGGACGAAATGAGAGCTGTAACGCAAGGTGTAAACAGCTATAACAGTTCTGAGTTTCTTGTAAGGTCATGCTTGGTGGTTCTAGGGTTCTGTGGTTTGCAAGATTTTCGAAAACTCTATGTAACCTTACCGGTTTTCTGTTCGCACGGTCGGATCTAATAATAGGGTTAGATGGAACTGAAGCAAAGGACGGATAGAGTTCTTCAGGATCTATTATTATGTGATACTCTATGTGTAGTTCGAAAGCAAAAACCCCTGTCTTAGGTTCCCCAAGAAGTACGGCACCCTTACAGAAAGGACGCCTAAATGGACCCGTTTAGAGAACTGCCCATATAGCGTTTATAAGTCGAAAAGGGTTGATCGAAGGTCAGGGTTTGGTGTACTAGCCAAGCCGACCGCCGAAGCTTGAACTCTAAACCCTCACCTCCTACTGTTGTAGAAAAACATCATGCATTACCGAAATGACCCTGGACTATGGGAATTATGGTACATTCTTTATCATGGGTAATGAGGATTTGTATCATCAACTCCTGCAGCCCCAATCTCACCTCCCCAACACTGCATCACCAACCACTACAGGAGTTCAGCCTTCGAGCCTACAGAGATTAATCGTAGTTTGGAGCACTGTATGTTACACATTGAGGTCGTTTCAAGTTTAGGATTGACAGCTCAAGATGAACACAATGCCGCTGTTTCAACTTCAGGGGTTCCGGTTTCGAAGCATAGTTCATCCGTTCGAGCTGAAATCTGTCATCAGCGGATGCAGTGGTAGTGTTGCCAAGGGTTCCGCCATGTGGAGGGGCCTCTTGAGACTGATAGGTGGCAGTATGAAGCGAATGAAGTGTTGCACTGACGGCGAATTTCGCGGCCGACCTCCCCCCCCCCCCCGACCTCTTATGGCTCGCCAACTTAATCTGTCATCCGGGTGAAGCGAGATTCAAACATAACGAGACAACCATCACCTTCAAATGGATCGGTGCAACGAGGGAAGGATGTTTCTGCTGCCATCATGCACTGTCTCACTGGCCACACTGATTAGATACTACAGTCACTGTATCGACCCTTGTATTATAGGAAGGATAAAGTAATGCAAGATTGTGATTCCGTCGAAAGTCTGCACCAAAAAGCATCCACCATCGCGGTCCTACCAGCCCCAAGCCCAAACATCTGCTTCAAATTACAACTTCTTAACGAATCGTGTGTGTGTGTGAGAACATGGTTGGGACTAAGGGTTTAGCGCCCCCTAAACCCTACAGGGTTTAGGGTTTGTTCAGGGTTTAGGGTGTTTAGGGTTCAGTGTGTAATTTAGGGTTCAGTGTGTAACGCTTACGCAATAGAAAAAGTGAGTTTGCAACAAATTCTCTTCAAGGATCCCCCGGTGTCATCTCATGTAGGGGCCGTAATAATTAGAATAGGGTTTGGGGGCCACATTGCTATAGTTATAATAAGGAACCCCCCAAAGTAGTATGTGCCTCCCAGAACCCAAACCTACGCAAACCTACGCACAAGGCCCGTCAACTCGACTGCGAAGCATTGTTTCTGCTAGTAACAGTATCCCCTCCCCATCTTCGCCTGCATGACTGTAGACGATACTATACAACATATCCACAAACTCGATTCTACTTCTAGCCATCACAGGTCCGGAAAACTTTGAAAACAAATTTCAGTCATAGGAGCTATATGATATCTACCCCTGAACTAAGCCGTTTCAATTCCAGGCTTGTTGGATGCATGGGCCATGTCCTCGGCGCTTTGGCCCTCGCCAACCGAAGGAACCTGGCTGAGCTTCCGGAAGTAATGATGCTAAGGCATGAGTTTGCACAGGCATGCTACACTTCACTGCAAGGCTTTAACTTCTGGCTCCCTTGCTAGATCCTTTAGGCTGGCCACACTATCATTACAGTAAACACCAAGACAGCAGCATATCACTGATCCGTCTCCAACAAGACATACCCCTGCACCCTGAACACTTAAAGCGATGGGCCCGACCTTACAACCGTGACCCCGAAACCCGCAAACCCTAAAAGCCTGAAGCGATTGACCGAATTAAAACCCGACACATGGCCCCAAGAGATTTTCGAGGCTTGCCTGTTCTTCTTGCTCGTTCTCGAGACGAGAAGGGAATAAAACTACAAACCCACAAACCTCTTCACATTGACAGGGTTTAGGAAGTTTAGGATTTCAGGGTTCAGGGTCTGGGTGAAGGACCTGAAAGCTTGGTTCGAGAGTAACCTAAAACATCAGATCTCTACGCCCCTGAGTATCTTGTTCGGGACCAACAAAAAACTCATGTAGAGGCCTATCGATTAGACTGGGGTTTGGGGTTGTGCATAATATGCGACTTGCTATGACTGTGTACTATGCGCAACTAGTACATGCATTACTTATGCCAGTGTCAATGTCACCCTCGATTCAGACCATGATAGTAGACCCCAAAACCTCGCCAGGCAGGCAAAGCTGCGCAGCCTCGGCTTTTGACTGTGCGGCGTCGAGCTCGGGGATTGTACAGGCTTGAAGGATTCTGTGGTATTGAGCTGTGTCAGGGCTTGTTTGGTTTATGGGTTTTGCAGGAGATCTGTCAGTGTTTTCTCGGACTTTAGTCGGCTCGACCCCTAGCCCTGAATCTTACTGTAGGCGCCTTAATAATTGGGGGGTATATGTATTGATAATAAAGAACCCCGCGAACCCTGTTCTATGTATGAAGGCCCCTACATTACTCGCTTCTGTCCGTGAAAAACTCAGTGGCTGTAAACAAGTTGAGCGCCGGCGGCTCAAAGACCAGTAAACCTGTAGGCTCATACCCTGCCCTTTTTTTTAGGTTATCTACTTTTCTATACAACAGATCCTAGCCATAAAACTGGGTATCCAAAAAATGGGTAGGGTATGAGCCTACAGGAACTCCCGAAGCCCTGCATAGGCCCTGAAAACAACTAGAAGACCGTATAGACACCTACAGAGCCCCACAAAACCCGGATTTTTGGACAGGGTTCAAGAGGCTTTCGTTTTGATGGCTCGCGAAAAGACGGGTTTTGGAGGGATTGACATTGGAAAAAGCCACGAAAGGGGTCCTTCCATTGCAAAGGTTACCGGAAGTCGCGTAGGCATGCTCCAATCACCATTGCAACTGTGAGGTTTGTAGTCGGCTCCAATCCTAAGCCCCAAGCTCGGCTGTGTTTCAGGTTTATGTAGGGTTTGGGCCAACCCGCAACCCACAAGACCTGCATGTTCCAGGTTCCTCATGAGTTATGAGCCGTTATCTATTGTCTTGCAAAAGCAAGCTTTGGGATGTCTATGGGACGAGAGGTTGCGTTTAGGTTGCTTCAAGGCCCAGTAGCCCCAGTCACATGACAAAGCCTTCATAGGTACTTCCTGCCTCTCTGCTCCTGCTTCCATGTTATTTAACAGTGTAGCAAGAAACGCACTCTGCCTCAACAGCAGTCCTGCATGCATCTCCTGCGTCCACGACCCTAGCCGGGTAAACTGAAGGGTAAAACCCTAAGCCGAATCCTATGACAACTCTGCGCTCCACTCCTGAAACTCCTATAGGTCCTAAGCCAACCCTGGCCAAAGAAAGAGTCAGCGAGTCCTGAACCATAAAGCCTAGAAACTCCAAACCCTAAAAATTGAATCCTGTAATTTCGTATCATCAAAACAAGTGCATGCCCAAGCACTTCTCCTCCAGATGATCAAAGCGCTGGTGGAGATCCTGAGTGCTCAAGGATTGTTCAACACATTTTGGATTCAGGGCTTGAGGATTTTATGGGTTTGATGGGGCCTTGTAATCTTAGGGGCCTCCCGGATTTTGTGGGGTCTTGGGGCTGTCTTGTGAGTCTACAAGGTTTAAGGATTTGCGGCTTGTAGTTTATGGATCTAGGAATGAATGAACTGAACAGGCCGAAAACCTAAACCTTAAATCCCAAAACCTGAACCCAAAACCCTAAAATCCAAATCCGTATTTCCCTGGAAGGCCTACGAACCTACGCTGCACTCGGTAAATGGTAAAACCTATTCGCAACACCTGAAAGATTACTACACAAGAAGGCTTCAAACCTGTAAAACCCGAGAGCTTACGACCCCAAAAGCTTCAAACCTGTAACATGCGAAGGTTTACGACCCCAAAAGCTTTAAACCTACAAAAAGCTAAGACTTGCTGCCCAAACAGCTGTAAACGGT